GTGATCACCCTGGTCAGGGCTTCATTGCACAAGCATTGGCCGGCGGAGGATGACTTCTGGTTCCCAGGATACTCCTGGATGCTGACCAGCTGCCCCAGGTGCCGCGACCACCTAGGTAAATGCCTCCTCAGAATGGCCGAGCTGCTGTTGGGAACGGAGTGCCGGGGAGCCCCGGGATCCCTCTGAGACCTGTACAAATATGGTCTCCAGATGAAGTTTCCTACTCTCCTTCGGGGGACCTTTGTCCCTAGCGATTGCGATTAGAGAGGAGGGTGAAAGGATGGTCGTGTCGGTTGCTGAGGCCCTGAAACTCCTTTCACTTGTGCTCTGTGTGGGAGAAGCAGAGATTCTTCTAATCACCATTTCACTCCTTCCAAGGATGTTTTGAAACATGGAGGAGGATAATTCGGGGTCGGTGAAGGATATTTAACGAAGGAAACGGAGGGGGGTGGATGGGTCCAGGCAGGATGGTACACCAGTAGCAGAAGCGAAACTTTTGGTGGCTTGACTGGGAGCACATTACTTTATCTCACTGAAGGGAGGGGAATTGTTCTACCGTGAGTTGTTTGTTCCCCCCCCCCCTCCCGGGTTCCTAATCGCGTTCCCTTTCGCTTGATTTTCTCCACCCCAATAGTCTGGGCGTATCATACTCGAGCCTAGGACTTGGAGATCCCACGTCACCGATGTGGAGTTCGAAGACTCTGATGGTACTTTTGCGTCTCTGATCACGGGTGAATTGCTGCCTCAGGAAAACTTATCGCCTTCTGTGGTGATTCTACCACGATCCTTCCGCAGTTAAGGTTGAAAGGGCTAGATGGGAAATGAATAATTGTAAACGATAACATTTTTAATTCTATTGTGTGTGTGTTTCTCCCTCCAAGGGTGAGTTGTTAGCTAGACACATATAACTGACCGATTATATGAAGCATAAAATTTCGGATGTGTTTTTTTTAACGTGTGTGGGGCGGAGAGGGCTGTTTGCATGATCGGGAATAATAGAGGTCCGAGTCCCTCTGTATTTGCCACCCTCATCTGCGATTTTGCTCGCAGGCTGCACATCCTGCTTCCAACCACACTCTCCCTCCCCCCCTTAAGCGCTCCAGGAACCGTAGGCGATGATCCTGGACTTCATAGATCTGCCCTATCCCCGTGTTATATATATACTACGGCTTTCCTGGGGTGTTGTCTGGGCGAAGTAAAATAGGGTGAGGAGGGTGGAATATAAGATATACTTCCTTCTAGATGTAACAGGTGATCTTCAGCTCAAATTGTAGAATAGAATCTACTAACCTCATAGGTCAGCACTCATTGAGTGACCAGCTTGAACTACAATTGCAATTGTTGCTTCAAATTCCCTTAGCCACTTCTGTCCACATCTGTTAAATTAAAATATCATTATCCCCTTCCCTTCCCAAATTAACACACTCACCTCCTGGCAGAAGTTCTGGTTCAGAAAACTACCCTGTGAATTTGAATGTCTCTTCCTTGATTTAGGGACTAATCCTGTTCCAATAGAACTCAAAGCTTTATTATTGACTTCAGCAGGTGTAGGACCAGGACCCTAAACTCTCAGTGACTAGCAAGTACTACCACTGAATGAGCACAGAGAGGCAGTAAAGAAGCCTGTATGTCTCACTCGACAAAAAGCATGACAATTACTCTCATAAAGCAGGAGAAAATATGTATTAGATGTTGTCTACCAGATAGCACTCTAAGATAAATATGATTAAAGTGAAACCAGGATTTCCAGTCCTTGTCTAATAAAGCAAAGGAGGGCAAGAAGTGTAACAAACTTTTGGCAACTCTTTCTCTCCCTGGTCTGGGACAAATTAAAGTGAGAACACTAATCTCAGAAATATGTGTTTCTAAACATTTGGCACCTGACCAGTATCTCCTAAAATACTATAAGCTTAGAAAATTGTGTTTCTTTTTTGCAATTGACAGCTCTTTGTGCATAGTCCTTTAATTACACCTTCCCTGAGCCCACAGTCCCATGAAAGAGAACTGAACTTCATAATTGGAAGATCTACCCCATAACACAGCCTGATGCAGGATATGGGCCTTAATTAATTGGTCCTTACTAACCTTTATAAATATTAAGTATAGAAAAATACCCTCAACTAATATTTAAAAGGAATTTAAAAAAATCACTATATTATTGAGCGTATTCTACCAAAAAATGACATTTGAGTGTCCTTTAATCTATTTACCAGTCACAGCAAACGCTTTCTTGAAAGCTCTAACTGTATTGGTACAGCAGAAATAAAGGCATAAAAATATCTTCTTGCAAGCCAACGAAGATCAGCATTATGGTTTTAAAATTCATAGGCAGTGGCTAAGGTGTTTGGTGTAATTTGGTGCATCAGTAAAAATGTACTAACCTGGTCCACTTTCTCTTCAAATAGAAAGAACTGGAAAGTATTTGCAAATTCAAAGCAATAAGTGAATAAATATAGGCCTCAATTTCTAATCACTCATGCACATGCCTACCATTCTGCCTGCTGATAGAGGAAGTCTGGCATTCACATTTTCACACACCGACTAATAAGAAAATAATAAGTGAGATGCTATACATTTGGAATGAAAACATTTGTGCTAAATTTACTAATTCTGCAATCTATATGTATTTCCCATGTGCATATGTTTAAGATCTGGCATTAGAATTTACAGGAGTGTCAGACACTTCTGCTTCCTTTATCTATTAAACTTCAACATAAGAATATGGAAGTTCTTCCATATGTTTTCTTCATATCATACTGGTTAAATACATATGCAAAAACTTTATTAAATGCTTCAATTTCTAAATTGTAAACCATTAACTCAGACATCTGTCATACTGGAAGTTAAAGCCAGCGTCCATTAGCTTAAATAGGAGAATTCTGACCTCTATTGAGAAGCTCATGATAAATGTTCTGCCAAGATAATTCATAAGGATAGCTTACCTCAGAAAATGATTAAAGGTTTTAAGGAATGTACTAGAGATCCCTCTTCCTGTCTTAATTTATGAGAATTGCAGAACTTGTATTTGACCCTAATTGTTACAAGGACATTTCTATCCTTTAAAAACATATTTCTATAATACACTGATGGGTAATTACAAGTATCTACTAAGCTTAACAAAACAGGTCAAAGAATGGGCACTTCTAAATAGGTAACTGAGTTTTTCCACATAGGTGCTTAGAGCACTAGATGGGCACTTAGGGCTGTATTTTTAAATCTGGAAAGTGTTTTAATCCCTACTCAAATTAATTTTTTCCACTACTAGCTGATAAAAGTTTACTAGAATGAAAGTAATATTACTAGCAGTTCAAAGGTTGTTTACTCTTACTGTTGCAATGAATAAAACTGAAATGTAGAGTAGTTTCACCAGGAAGTTAAACCACTGTTCTATCTGCACACAATAGTGGGATTGTTTTGCCACCTGTATAGTACTAATCAGTTTTTGTTTTCGAACTTGGAGGGGCATTTGACACCCCCCCCCCAATCTCACTTTTTGACTTTGGTCTTTAGCTGTACCACCTTATTGTGTGTGTCCTGGGGAAAAGCAGATTATGCAACTTTATAGGTCTTGCAATATAGGGGGAGATAGTTCATGCACTCTTTCTGATAGAATAGAGATTTCTCCCTAAATAAGCACAATTTAGTTAGGTCTAGTAGCATTTTACTTTGTACTACATAAATGGCTACACAAGCTGCAGAGCAACAGTTTGTCTACAGTTTTAGCACTAATGTAACTAAATTGGTTAAAAGATGGAGTTATTTAAAATTGATGCAAAAAAATGAAGTGGACTAGGGCAGTAGGTCCAACCCAACTGTCATTGAACAAAATGAGTTGGTTCAGTCTTTTAAGGAGTGCCTCTCCCCACTGTGGAATACCACTCAAGAGAATAACCTTACTCTATAGCACCACAAAATACATACGTGATGCTATGACAGGCTAAAACAACCTTTTTCCCCATAAGAGTGAGGACCCCCATCCTGAGAACCCATTATTAGGAGAAGACACTTATACAATGATTTAGTACTAAAATTGTTCTATACAGGTTTTAAAATATCCATTTAAATGAGGTTAGTTTATATGGCATTCTACTTTTTAAAGTAATTGTATAAATGCTAATTATTGCTAGAAGAGGTTTCATCACACTTTGCCACTTGCTATTCTGGTTAATTCTAGATGTAGATTTTAGGCAGTTGATACTTTTAAATCAAAACAGGTTGCATTTTATTAGCTCACATATTTGAAAATATAAACAGCATAGATTGGAGGTTGTATGGCACTGAAATTCCACATGCAAAGTAACCACTTCCTTGTGAGATGTAATTTAGCAGAGTAAGATTCTTCCGTGTTTGAAAAGAGTACAATCAGCCTGAATGTGTAATTCAAACAGATTTAACGTCTCAACTCAGAAAGTTATTACCAAATGGATTATAAACATTAACCTCTGATCATTCAATTTGAGTTTGCATGGTCTTTTCAGTGATCTGATTTATTAGAGATCAGAGATATGTGGTATCTCATTTACATCACTAATGAGAGTGTTTAAATCTGCACATTTCTTTATTATTAGAGCATCAGGTGTTTTTTTTGGTGCACGAGGGAACATTTAAAGACTCCATTAATGTAACATACAAGGAATGTAACCACAACCCATTCCTATGGAGATATCAAACTAAGAGAAACAATGTGCAGATTACAGTAATGACTGCCAATTTATAGTGATTATTGATAGGAAGTCTGACAGCAACTTATTGATAGTATCAGATAATTTATGCTAAATTACACCTAAATTAAACACTTTTCCCAGATATGAACACTATCTAACAATTTAAATTCAGGTTAAATCCATACAGCCATGAGGTTATCTTGCAATACAGATATTCTGACCACATATCAACAAGTGTTAAATTATTAACTACAGACAAAAAATATTGATAATATATGGGAAAATGAGCAAGAAAATATCAGAAACATGTTTTGTTCAGTGAAGACCATTAGTCCCTTTGTGTACACATTTAGTTTTATTGTAACAAAGCAACTTGTACACTTTAACGTTTAAAACTGAGCATCTTTCTTTCCTTTCCAGTGAACCAAAAAAAAAAAAAAAAAAAAGAATTTAAAAATAAACAAGAACAAAATTACAATAGAGAATGTCAATTCCAAATAAGATCCTACAGGTTCTGCTGATTCTCCATCAAGTGGCAGGGCTCAAAGTCATCATTAGGAGAAGATTTTATTTTAAAAGTGTCATCTTAAACTGCAAGGATGTTTGTTAAACATCACAATAAACATGCCAAAGGAGAAGAAGCCATGTTGTCAAAATGCCCACTTAACCCACCCAAACATCTGAAACCCACCCTTGCTGACCTTCTATACCCCATTTTTTTTTGTTTTTTAATTTTTTTTAAACAAGAGAAAGTAGACAGACATGTTGGTAAATGCTAACTGTCCATATTCACATAGAGACACTGTAATCTCTGAGCCCAATATACAGAGAAAGAAGGAAAAAAGCTAGAATCTATGCACTACTACACAGGGGCCTAGCACTCTTCAGCTTCCAGCAGAGTGAAGGGAGCAGAAGGTTTTCTTTTTTCCCACAGAACATGGTGTGTTGATTCCATAAACAGTTTTTGTTTTGAGACAGAAAGGGATAAAAATGAACTTGGAACAGAAACTGGTAGAGATTTTATTTTCCACTGTATTCTGCTCAGGGTATTTTCCCCAAAAATAAAATGGTGAACCATGGTGTAGAGGAGAGAAAAAGAGACCTCAAGAGAACAAGGCGACTGAGCACAAGGGTGGGGGAAAAAAATAAAAATAAAAAAAGAGACAGCAACTTGCTCCCAGGGACTGGAGAAAAATTAAAAAGGTAAGAAAAGGAGGGGTGGGTGTTGGAATCCATCAGTGTTTAATTAGTCATCTTCTCCTTCATCTTCCTGTTGAAAGAAAAGAAACAGTTAAAATCTAGTCACTTTTTTTGGAGGGTGGGGGGAGAGAAGGTGCGGGAGTCAGTACATTCAAACTCCAAACAGCCTTGACTTTCAAACAGCAATTAACCAGAATTTTTGACCACTCTAAAAAGCCCTGCAGTTATTCTTGCAGGATGGGTTGAAAAGCTCATGTTTTCTCCCTCCTCCATATGGAAATAGGTAAGGCTGGATAAAGTTTGATCTCCATGTTATTGCTGGGACATATGATTTGGATGAAAATTGACAGAACTATTTGTTAGTGAATATTGAAGAGACTGCTAAGGGTGCCCAGAGCTTTGACTAGGCAGTCTTAAAGAATAGTAAAAGTCTAAGTAAATAACTTACAAGAGAGTCAAAAGTTCAATGAAGAGATTAAATAAAATACAATTTAGATACTAACAAGAATATTGCTCAGCAGATCTTAGTTACCGCATCTAAAATCAAGCACCTTATGTGTCTACGTGCATAATGTCCAAAGCCTTCTGTTTGTCTAAAAGGCAGTTTCATGTAACTCAATAACAAAAGCTAAATGGTTAATAAATTAATTATAACAAATGAAACAGTGCAACATTCCCAGTTACTGGGTGAGAATTAATTCCAAACTTTAAATCACTGGAGATTGTGAAAGTAGCAGAGGTGGGATCATCCCTAGCACTCCCAAAATGAGGACACATTCACAGAAAAATCAGCAATAGTCCAGAGTAAAGTGTATATAATAGGTGAAACCCAGTAAAACTGGATGCATTAAAAAAAAAAAAAAGCTATTTATGGAATAAGGTTAAAACCCAGTAATTCACTAATAAAAATCTAAGTACACTAAAATCATTGCTCAAGTCGCAAGGACTGTTACCACCTACACAAACTCCCCTCTGAAAAACATAACAGCAGACTGTATAGAGTGTCAATAACTCCTTAACATTTATCAACAAGATAAATTCAATGCTGTTCCTAAACAGGATTTAATTGGATCTATTCAACTCCTTGATTTGGAAAAAAATGTGTTCTCACCTCTCCTTCTTCTCCCTCATCATCATCTTCATCTTCTTCCCCCTCATCTTCATCTCCTTCTTCATCAATATCCTCCAACCCTTCTTCCTCTTCATCATCATCATCATCTTCTTCTCCTTCACCTTCTTCATCATCCATATCAGGAACCTTAATTAGAAACACATATACAATGTTACTGCATTGATCAAATTAATTCTGACATAGCCACAAGAACACTGTTACAAACAGCTCAACTCTACACGTACCAAGTAGTATTGTAACGGATTTGGCCAGATGTCATCTTTGATGACTTCTCCTAGTTCATCAGCACCTGCATCAGAGTGGTCAGTGAACCAGGTAAAGAAACTTTCTGGTTCTTCATGCTGCCTCTTCCTACTGGCCTTGTTCTGTGTCTGGCTTGAGCGCTTTGTCAGGTCCTGAAAAAGAAGAGAAAGTTAAGCATTTTCCTGAAAGAATTTCCTGACAATGTTTCACAAGATGCGTTTGGAGACCTGCTTATCTACGCAACCAAATACTACTTGTTCTTTTTCAAGGAGAGGTGTGTAAGAGACAAAATTATACAGAGCCCCAAGGCATGTACCAGTTGACGCCACATAGCTAGGAGTTTCAGCTACCATTTCCCATGAATAGTGCCAGTGGTAGTAAAAAAGCCCTCAATTTTAAGTATTTTTGCTACTCAGAATGCAAATTTTCCACGCTTTCTCTACTGAAATACTGACAATTCAAAAAGACTACCTGTTGACCTTTGTTAATGTTCCCAGCCACACAGTGGCAAAGGTATGACTCAAACCATTTACTGAAATGCTAATTTCAAGACTTGTTAGAACTATTTAAATGCTAACATTAGGCACAAGCAATTTAGGAAGCTCTCAAATAGCCCGCGCAGCAGCTCCTATTGACCAGGAACAGCGAACCGCAGCCACTGGGAGCCACGGGCGGCCGTGCCCCTGCAGACGGTTAATGTAAACAAACTGTCTTGTGGCCTGCCAGCGGATTACCCTGATGGGTTTCGTGTGGTCCACGGGCTGCCCATCACTCCTGTAGGCCTTTTTATAAGGCATTGTCTTAACACTCCCCTCTTGCTTTTCTCTCCTCCTAGGATGGGCTCATCCTTTGTTTTCTTCATAAAATAGATTAAGGATTTAAGTCTTTTATCCTTGGAGTTTTCCCCCTTTTAAATTTCCTATTTCTCCTTTGTAGCAATCGCAAGGGGGAAAAACCACACAACTCACTTTTTAAGCTACTACAACATATTCACTAGCAAGAGGATATAATGAGTTAACCTCACCCCTTTTGAGACCAATACCTCTGTCGTGTCCTGTCTTATACACCTGGAAAACAGATGACTATCCAGAGGTAACTCTGGACCTTTTACTTCGCCACTTAATGTGTACAGACTTCTAGCTGCTGCTTTGTTGAGACACTTTGCGCCCAAGATATACTTGCTTATGCAATCTTATGGACAGCAATAAGTCAGCTTGTTTTAATAATTAGCTGAATGACCATAAGGTACCGCAAGATGTAAGTTATTGCTGGAAGACCCCAGAACAGCAGAGGAAAATACTAAAATTTTGACTGTCGTGTGATGCAGTTTTCCAACAGATCCAACTATGACATTCAAATTGACTCATTTGCAGCATTGTAGTTTACTTTTGTGAGGTGCAGGAAATGAGCTCCTAATTCAGAAGTTCCACAAGATGTACATGTAACTTATGAACTACAAAGAAAGCATTAACTATATGGATGGTAACTGGCAAATGCTAGAAAAACAACTCAGATAAAAAGCTTTGCTAGTTTCTTTACAAAGACCAAGTGGCCACCCAAACTTTTAGCATAATATTGAAATTGGACAGGTAGTTGTAATCTGGTTTAAATTAGGCCTTGTTTACAATGAGAACTGTAGCACTGATGTTAGATCAACTGTGGGAGAATTCCCTAAAAAGGTTGGGAGTACTAGTATGGATTTGTTTTCTTTTTAAACCATACACTTCACTGTAATTTTTAGGCCTACTCTGAGCAGTTTAACTGACATGCTTGTAGAAATACTGACAACTGGCCTTCACTAGCACTTCCACTGGCGTGCAACAAAGTGAGAGAATTAACTACAAGCCTCAGCTTAGATGCAGCCTCACTATCTATATCCTTGGGCTTCATCCAGCAGGAATGGATTGTGTGTGTGTGTTTTTTTGTTTTGTTTTTGCATCAAAGCACAGAGACAGTAAAGCACCTAGCACTCACTGCCACTGTTTGAAGTGGAGCAATTATTTAATTCCTCCCCGCCCCCAGTAAAGATACATGCCTTCCCAGATTTCCATTTGATCTCAGTTGATTTTGAAGACGGATCTCCACTCTCATTCAGATGAAACTCTTTGGAGAGAACTTTATTTTCAAAGTATGGATTCTCGTCAAAATACTGTAGAGTGGAAAGAATAAAGTTAGGATTGAATATTTATCTATAGCATACCAGATATGTTAACTAAAAAATGTTAAGTACTACAAGTTTTGAAATACTAAGTTATGCTACTGTTCTCTGATGCAGGTTACATGCAAATAAAAATGGCACAACATTAAATGAAGACTGTCCATAATACTTACAAAATCTATTCTGTAACCTGATTTGATGTCTTCAAACTCTGTCACCTCAACTCTGGTCAAATAATGCAGTGCCTCCTCATCTTCTTCCCCCAACAGTGCAGATACTATGGTAGAATTAGGAATCTTGCATTACAAAGCTATTTATATAGGTTATTTTGCAGCAAACATTATAAGAAATTGTCACGGAAAGTTGAATTAATAGGACATTTGGTATATTGTTTACTTGTCCCAGCCCATCTTTAGAGAAAGCCCAAAAGAGCCACTGGCCCCCAGAGGTCACTATAAAGTACTCTCTGCAATACATGTGCATGCGTCTGACGAAGTGGGTGCAAGCTTATGCTCCAATATGTCTGTTAGTCTATAAGGTGCCACAGGACTCTGTCGCTTTTTACAGATCCAGACTAATATGGCTACCCCTCTGATACTCTGCAAAACCGTCCAGAAAAGAGCACTGAAAAGGTTGTTGAAGGTGTATTCTCTTTCACTTAAGAGGATGATAAAAAGTATAATGGTGGAGTCCTAATAATGGTGATCAAGCTTGTTCTTGGATTCAAAACATAAGGGGAAGAAAATCTTTGGGACAATAGAAGTAGAAATGGATAAACTGCTTCCATTGATAGCATTATCGCCTCAAAAGGAAGCTCTAGGCATATAGTCAAACAGAAGTCACTGTTGTTAATTGAGGAAAACAAAAATCTAAGCAATTTTCTGAACCAAAGGATTAAAATGCATACATAACGTAACAAACTTCCATGATTGCCCCCCCTCCCCCCAAAAAGCACCGGAACATACCTTGTGGGTGGTTAACAAATGTTGTTACCCAGAAGTTTGGGATTTTGGCGATCAGTTCTGACCTCTTCTGGAAGAATGGTTGGCGGAGTTTGTTGTATTTCTGTTCTACTTTCAAAATTTCCTCACTTGCTTGTTCATTCAGTCTAAAGGAAAGGAAAGATTCACATTAACAACTGTATCATAGCATGGGGATCTGAAGTTTAAACAAGGTGCAAAATCAGTAGATAGTCCAAAACTAGAATGGATGATTTAATTAAACTAATCAACCCTGCCTGAAATATGTCAAACAAAAACAAGGGGTCCAATCATGCAAACACTATTTAGTGTGTACTATCAGGAGTAATCCCATTGACTCAACAGAAACTACACCACTAGCAAACACTATGCTCTGTGGCATTTGCAAGGTTGGGCTCTAAATTGAAAGCAGAACACTATTAAAATTTCTAAATATCTAGTTTAGAAAGACTGGTGAACTTTGACACATGATACTGGATCAGATTCAAGCTCATTGCCCCTCCTCCTATTATTTGCCGGAGAAACAAGATAAAAACAAAATAAGTTTGTGCACCACAAAGAGAGCCTTTTTAAGACGAACCAAAAAAAAAAAACAAAAAAAGTTACTAAAAGAGTTTGTTACACAGTAAGGTCCTAATCTTGCAAATGCTCCTCTCAGGTAGACCTGTGTCCACTTGGAGGTTCATTAGTCAGTTTAGGAGGGTAGTGAGAAGGGTGTCTGTTTGCCTGGAGCAGGCATCAGGGCCTAAGCCGTCAGTGACCTGTGAAGTTATATAGTTTACCACTCCAGTGTAAATTTCAATAGATGCAATGAGGGCCAGATCTATACTGTCAAAGCCATTTTAAAGTCATCACAATCTATTTCAAGTATTAAAAGTCAAGTTACATCTTAAGGCCCAGCTAGTTTAGTTGTACACAGCTAAATAGGACACAAGATTACACCTTCAAAGTTTTGATCATATATACAGTAAATGCTTTTTATTTATAATCACGTGAAACCACTAATATGCTTTTGAGATTTTGGAAAGTGTGAGAATTACATACACTACTTCAGTTACCAAAGCATTTTTATTACGAGTTATTTTTTCCCAGTTCTGCTAAAACAATTTAAATTATTGAAAAGCTTCTTTTAATAATTTACCTGTCTATTTCATTCTGTACTTCATCAATATGTTCAATTGCTTCCTGTTGCTCTTTTTCTGAAAGAAAAATAAATCCATCAAACTCCATAAGTTCTTGAAAAGAGATCTCAATAATGTATGACGTCAGTTGAGAAAAATCAGAAAAGTGTACTTTTACAACCTTTACCACTATTCTGGATGGCATTTAAATGATTATTTCTACTTGAGGACAAGGTTTATCTGACTTTGTAAAACTACTGTTTTTTACTAACTGAACTTGCTAAGTGAAGTCTCTGAAGTTTGCTGTAAAGCTTTGCCTTTTTTTTTTTTTTAAAGGGGGCTCAAACCAGGTACCATGCTAATTCACAATATATAGTCATATACACTCGGTAAATTTTATAGTCGATCTGTTGAAACAACAATAGTTTAATAATTTACTAAAATTATACACCAAATCATTCTTTCTAAACTGAACACATTTACAGAAATTGAATCAGTTAAGTGAACTTAATACTAAAGAAAAAAAAAAGAAGATACAAAACGCTAATTAAAACAGTACAATTGGGAATGCTGTTTTCCACAATTAAAAGGCATGTTTCAGAAGAGTTTGGGGTAAATATTTCAAAACCACTGCGAAGTGGATATTTTCTAATCAGAACTTTAACTCGGCAGAGGCTGCTGGAGCTCTTGATTAAGGAATGGCTGTTTGCCTAAAGTATTTTAAGATTAACGAAAGGTAGCGGGAAGCAGCTGTAAAAGTGCGGAACAGGCAACCCTCCCCCGATTAGTTTGCGAACACACAGGATTTCGTGTTATTGGATAGTTGTTTCCTGTGGGGGTCTCAGAGCCAAGCCCTACCCCCACCGTGCGGCCGGAGATGGGTAGATTGGTGTTGTCTTCTCTCCCCCGCCCCCATTACATATGAAAACTCAGGTGCGGGAAGCACGTGTGTGAAAGGAACCGGGCACAGCGAAGAGCTGCTGGCCTGGAGGCTCGTTGCCATGAGCACCTCCACACCCCCAGCCAAACAAGTTAAGATCCATGGGTGGCGGGAACCGACAGGCTTTACCGGGGGGGGGGGGGCAAGTCCCCCCTATGGCGGCGACTGATGCAAACCCCACGGTGCGGGGAACCGAGTACCGACCTCTCAATACACACGGGCTGCTAGGATCGCACGTGGGGACGGGCGGGCAGCCGCATCCCGCTGCTGCACGAGTAGCGCGTGGCTCCCCAGCCGGGCGGGCCACACCAGGCACGGAGAAAGCGCCGCTCCATCCCCGCGTTGCGCGGCCGGGCAGCACCATGCAGCAGTAGCGGCTCCGAGACCAGAAGGCGGCGAAGCATCATGGCGGCGGCGGAGCACAATGAGGCTCCGCGGATGCTGCTCCAGGAGGGGGGGGGTCCCGCTGCTCCGCGCAGGCCGCAGCGCCCCCCGCCCGCGCCCGTGGAGAAGGAGGCCGGGCAGTACAGACAAAAGGGCGCTAACATGGCCTCCTCTTGCCGCGGCTGAGGCCTGCACATCCGCCCGGCCGACCCCGCGCTCTTCCCGCCTCCGGCCCGGCCGCGGCCCGTGTGGCTGGGGAAAATGGCGGTCGGTGCAGCGCCGTGTGGGGAGGAGGCCGCGGCGGCCGCCGCCGCCATTCCCCTCCCTCCCCCGTCCCGGCCTCACCTGAGGTCTCGTCGGCCCCATCGTGGTTGGAGTTCAGCTCCTTCTTACTGACTTTGGCCGCCGGCGCCGACATGTTGGTGGCTGCGGAGCGCGGAGGGAGGGGGTTGTAACGGGACTGAGCGCAGGGGGGGCCGGGCACAGACTCCTGCTGCTGCCGCCGCTCGGACTCCCTCCGCGGCCGGGACGCCTCCTCCTCCTCGGCCCGGACCTGGGGCTCCCGGATAAAAGGGGGCAACAGCGGCGCTCGGGCACCCTCACGCTATCGCCCCAGCCGGGACCAACACCGCCTCCTCCTACTGCTGCTACTGCTAGCGAGGGGCGGGCAGCGTTGTGCGCAGGCGCAGCAACCCCCCCTCCGGGGCACAGGGGTACGAGGGCCACACTACGCACGCGCAGCAAT